GAAAGGGCACGCACCCTCAGTGCTAGAAGACGTCGACACTTCGGGGTGGCCAGCAGGCATGCTCTGTAAACCTGACATCTTTTCTTCAGTTGTCATTTTATCGAGAGCGGCAATGGTCTGCTCGACTTCCTCCTTAGACTGAATGAATTCATCAGGCAGCTCCTGCTCCTCAGGCGCCTTTACACCGGCCTGGGCTTCGTCAAGAGCTTCTCCTGGTGACATGTCCTTGGGCTTCTCCTCCTTCTTCACCACACCATCGGGTGCGATCTGTCTGAACATGTCCATGGGGTCAAACCAAGTGCGAACGGCCTGTAGTTGCACTTTCTCGTTGACAGTAGCGACAGTAACGCCCTGAATATCGATAGAACCTCCATGTGCTTTGGCTGTGACCTTCTCCCCCTTGTTGTTGAAGCCGACGTAGTCGTTCTTCATTTGGCCCCAGTGTCGCCATCGGAAGCTCACTGTCGGTGGACCACTGTAGACTTCTAGTACTTCCCATGCGAATGTGGGCATCATACGCTTGAACGTCTTGTGTGACGAAGCAAAATCAGAGTAGTCGGGCGAGTAGTATTCGTTTGGCGCGATGATAGCATTGTATGTGCCGACCTTGAGCATGGCCTCCGCACCTTCAGGCTTGCCGCCATTGATGGCAAATGAGTAATTCTCACGATCGATTGTACGCCAGTCGTCAATGCTAGGCTTGAAGGATGCTTCGACTTCCCAGTTCTTAACGAGGTTTTGTACGAGCTCCGGAAGTGATCCGGCTTCGTGCGTCATTTGCTTTGCTATGCATTCTTAGTAAGATGCACTACGTCTGACCTGCAGCCTCGCTACCGTATGCAGTAACTCACTCTCAGTAAAAACCTTTCTTGTTTTTGAGTAATCTGGGGCTCTGCCGTATCGCCACTTGGCATCTTTATCTCCAAGGACAGCATCGGGATTTGTGAGGTAATCAGGCAGTGCGGGTGCGGCTTCCTGCGCAGGCGGCTGCTGAACGTCTGCACTTGCCATTGTATGTTTGGGGTATGGAGTGAATGTGAGGAACAGAATAAAAGGGTACAACGATGAAAGACTGGCACTGCGGACGAGCAACTTTGCCTGCTATTAGTCTGGTATGAAAAAGAATACTATAAATTCAGGGTAGTACGAGTATGCTGTCAAACCAAAGGGAGAGTCTCGCGCTTTATATGCCGAGTGTAATCCCTTGGTCAGGATAATCCCCATAGCAGACAGGACCAGTAAGCAGTGGCTTGATGACCCTGCAGTTGTGAGACGCAGAATTTATCCAGTAGCTTGCGAACGGGAATATTGGAAACCTCCGAGAGGGCATGCTGAAGCGTCTGGGCAAACTTTCGAGCTGTAAGGCGAGCTACAGAGGCGAAATAATGTGGGGTGCCAGCCGTCAAACTGATAGCCCGGGCATGAACTGCCTGGGCCTAAGGGTCTAGTCTGTTAGACGAGTATGTCTAGACGCTTACATGGGTGGGTTGTACCGTGTCAAGGTCTACATTGGATCGATTTGTACTGGGGTGGTACGTAGTCGTTAGCTTTGTGTAACTGTTGCACAGCCGCCAAGGCTTGATTGCAAGGCTCCATATCCAATTCCAGATTGCATACCGACCTCTGCTTTCGTTCTGCAAGACTCGAAAGCCCACCCATGTTGGTTCTCGCCGTTGTAGCGCTGTAGCGGCACGCTTAGTGCGAGCGCCATAAGGGACCAGGATGAAACAACGGAAGACGTGCCGAGCGGGACATCGGTTGGGGCGCGACCCCAAGGAGCAATATATAGCTCGCCAATCTGAGGTTATCAGGATCCACAGTCGAGACTCTGGTTCCAAGATGCATTGATATTGCCAAGCAAAACAACACGGCCGAGGTTAGGAGCTCTAGAACGAATGTTCTGTAACGAAAAAAGGGTGGGTCAAGTTCTGATGAGTGCTGGAATTTGATGTACTAGGACTGGAGTTATCGCTGCAGCCAATAGGTCTTCCGCACTCTCAGGGCGCGTAGCCAGCAGCTTCCCTGACAATTGTAGGCCGAACACACGGAGATCCCGAGGTAAAGCTAGTGACGCCCTGAACACTGGTCGCGTATCAGGACAATTGTAGAGTTTGGTACAAGGATGATCTCCTGTAGTGCTTCTTGCTAGGTTGCAGCATGGCGGTCGAAGGTTGCAAACTCATTCTTGTCGAGAATGTCCATTGCAACTGCGTGTTACATATGATACTCCTCGAGTTTCCTCTTCTACAATGCAAGTCAATCTATATCTTACCGGAAAAATTGAATCTGGGGGCCAACAACTGCGAATGAAAACAATCTGTGGCGCCGTTGTGGCGGCTGTGCTGTGTGCTAAATGCTAGCTGCAGCGAGCGAGAAGCCTACGAGCCGCTTCGTCAGGTCTCGCCGATCATCCAGATAATTCACCCACATGGCGGGAACTCCGATTCTTCATGTGAGCTGCTAAACGTCCACGTTGATGAGGTTCGGTATACTGGTGAAGACATGTCCGAGCAGGTAACACATGAAAGCCTATCGTTAGCGCGGTGACGTCATTCTGATATTCAACGGTCCGCGATCATGTATCGCTTCACGCGTCCACAACGCAGACCTCCTTTCTATTCCTGCAAACAGCTGCCATTTCCCTAAACTTCAAAATGGGACGTCGAGATCGCCTCATCAGCGCGTCTATCTTGCGCGCCATCTTCAGATCTGACGCGCCTCGGAAAGATGAGAGCGCGCATCTAGGCCTGTTTGCGCGTATATATGCCTTCTTCGCCCTCTTCAGTCTTACTCTAGCTCGATATCGCGCGTCTCTATTCAAGAAGTTAAGGAACGATACTTGGGAGATTGAAGAGGAAGGATACATTGAGAGCTTCCGCTCTCCTAGCAAGGGCAAACGGACCGACCTGGTCCCCATAGGAGACCTGGGATACTCTGGATCAGTACGGCTCAATATGATATCTGAGAGCAACCAGCTAATGCGCAGCAGACTTTCTTTACAACGCCTAATTCCAAGTATCTAATCAAGTCACTCCCACGACAGTTCGAGCAATCCTTCTTTCGCGATCGTCTTCTCGAACCCTATGTCGAACACATGGAGCTGAACGAGGACTCCCTCCTCGTCCGTATAACAGACCTCCTCTACTGCCCTACTGCCACCATCGGTGCTGCACTAGGCGCTGCACCAAGCCATCACATCATAATGGAGAATATCCTCTATGGGAAGTCAAGTTGTAGCAAGGACCAGCAAAAACGTTGGGAGACATATGATCTGAAGCCAAACGATTACTTCTATCCTGAACGCGACGTGGCTAACGGACGACTGGCACCTGAGAGTGTCAAGGATCGACTTATTGATGAGTTTGAAGACAAAGTCCGAGTAACTATCGACCAGAAGGAGGAGCTCATTGCCCAACTCTCTCGGGACTCAAAGATCTTACAAAGCAACAACGCAGTGGATTATTCGTTGTTTCTCGTCCGCTATCCCGCCGACCTGAATTCGGGTGACGTGCCGCCGCCCCCCGGTCGAGGATCTACATGGCGCACAGGTGTCGTATCGCGTGACGGCAAGTGGGTTTACCGAGCCATCGTTCTCGACTTCTTTTGGTCAAAAGACGCTCTCCAGGCGCATACGATGACGGGACTGGTTAAGCTATTCAACACACTGAAGTTCGGGAAAGATCACGGCCCCATGAGCATTACTACCACGAGCGATGAATACAGACAAAGATTCCTCGGAATGGTTGAGGACATGGTTGAGGTTCCAGACAGTGCTGGTAGACCCGCTGGAGAAGTACGTAGCCCTGCACCAGTAGCTGCTGATCAAGTGGTGTAAAGCGGCCTATGACCGCTGATGATCTTCATTCCCTTCTCTTCGCTGGTAGTACAGCGTATGATTAGTTTGATACACAAGATACCCGGTCCATGTCTGCGCATTTGGGCTTCCAGTTTCTAATCACATTCCTCAATGAAAGCCGTACAAATGTACACAAGAAAGCCATGTTTCGTGACCCATGACATGATGGCGGTGAGCACAGGAGCTCGAACATGGCGTCATCGCACATAGCCCCAAGCGTCTGAGTGGTTGAGGCTGCGACGCTGACGAGCCTTGCCAGCGCACAACCATCTCACGATAGGCCGCGCCCGCCACGCCCGGGTAATTCCTCGCAGGAGCCTTGCGTTTTATGGCATTGCGACCCGGTTTTAAGCAAGGGGTACATGGAATGCGTATTCCGAGGAGGCTTGGTCCCGTCCGCAGCCGGCAATGAGGCCAGAACTTTGTAGGATTGCATGCGGAGAATAGATGCAGTGGCAACCGTGCGTCGCATACAGTAGAATACGACTTGTGAAGGCCACAGTGGGCGAAGCCTGCGTCGCCTCAGCATCTCCAGAACAGATATGAGGATGAAAAGAGGCATCTTTGTGGTGTTCGCATCGTGCATGAATGACTGCGAGATCAACGTTGATCGGGATGCTTTTTGCATCGCAGGATTCATCTACAACGTCTATGCTGATCCCCGGGTTGCGGCTCCAATGACAGTAGCGCACGAGCCACGTCGATGACGAACGACGTCATTTTCACGATGTAGACGAGGCGCCTGCCACGGAATCGCACTATGCGTCGAATCAGCTATATTGTCGTCTTTTAAGCGCACCTGCCCAATTGCAACAAATCTAATTGCTTCTTGCCGCCGTACGTCAAAAGTCACTTGCCGCGGCACATCTTATACTTGGCCTCCTTCCCCGCGCTTTTTCTTCTCAAGAAGTCCTCCAGCAACACACCTCGCACATCTCCAAGTACAATTTATATCGCTTACACACTATAATCCGCGCTGCGCAGTCCGCTCCATTGCCACTCGTCGGCCTTCCTGCACACTATCACACCAACAAGGCTCCCTCGTCGAATCGCTGGGACCGGTCGATTGCGCTCCAATCACATCGCTGCTCGCAAGACAACCCTACGTCACCTCGACATCCGGATTTCGCGGCCCCATTGAAAGATGGCAGCCCTAGCCTTGAAGGCCATCAGCGTCGGCGCAGAGAAGGTTCCCGACAAGTTCTTCGAAAAGATCCCCGGAGGCTACTTCACACCCGCAGAACAGAAAGAAATCAAGAAACACCGTAAAGAACGCAGCGACAGACACGAAAGAGAACGACACCACAGCGAAGAAAGATCCAGCAAGCGCAGCTCACGACAAGAGCGCAGCCCGCCGACTGAGTACTCCGACTACTACACGGACGACACCGACTACGAGCGCGAACGAGAGCGACGAAAGAGAGAGCGACGACGCGCAAAGAGCACTGGAACGACTGCTAGTAGAGGTCTGAGTCGGGGACGACACGGTAGACATAGTAGCGACTTTGACGGACAGCACAGCCCTCCAAGAGACATGGCTCAACCACAGCAGGGACAGCCCTACTTCCCTCCTCCGCCTACATCCGAGTATAAGCCGTATAATCCACAGGAGTATGCTCCTAGCCCCGTCCAAGATCACCGCCCATCTGCTACTCCTGCCTACGGATACTCTCCTCAGGTAAATAATCTCTCATATTTTCGACGCGCGACGCTTGCGACAATGCCCGAGCATCCAACACCGGCGAACAGCTGTCCGCCCATGTTGAGAAGCCGGACAACGTCGACCTCGTCCACCCCTTTCTCTTTTCAACCTCATTTGCTTCGCACTCTTTCTCGTGGTTCTCCCGTTTCTGCTGCTTTCACTCCTTCTTACGAGCCGCCTCTTGCGGCCTTGCTTCAGCGCCCACTTACTAACACTCCGAAGCCAGCACCTGCAGAGCCACGTGGTGTCACCCTAGACTATGGCCAGCGCGATGCTCCCAGAAGCTCTAGGTACATTCCTGGCCCTGGATACGCGCCGTCGCCCGCGGTAGACGCGCCCATTCCGCCTCCACCTGTTGGCTCGAATTCTCCTATGAACCCCTACCATCATACCGAGTTCCCTGCGACTGGCGCTGGCTACCAACCGTCTCCGCCGCCCTTTAGCCGTCAGCGCTCCAACTCTCAGCCTACTTTCGCGCCAGCTTTTGCGCCAGTGCCTAGCGCAGTCTACCCGACCTACATCCCCCCATCCGCTGAACAGCCAGTGGTCGCTTACAACGACTCCCAACCTCGCTCTCGCCGTGAGAGCACCAAGCCTCGTCGTGAACATCGTCACAGGGCTAGGTCCGTTGACTCTCACTCCCATCAGTCCCGCTCTAGCAAAGACCACCGTCGAGATGATTCGCGCATGACTAAAGTGCGCGATAGATTCGATAGCATGGATCTGCGCGAGAAGAGCCTGGCGGCATCGGTGGGAGGTGCGTTGGCGGGAGGATTTGCGGGGAGATCGTTGGGTAAAAGTAGGCTGACTACGCTTGCAGGAGCAGCTGCGGGTGCGTTGGGTGCCAGACAGATTGCGACACGCTCAAGGTGAATAACGCCACCCCATACTTGGTTGGTTTCAGTTCTAACAATGCCAACAGAAGCCGAAGCGATCGCCACTCCACGTCCCGTTCTCGCTCCCGATCCCGGACTCGTGCGCATGAACGCGAACGCAGCAAAGGTCCTGGCCTGCGTGCTAGAAGCCGCAGCGTAATCGATCGCTTCCGTTCCAAGTCCCGCGGCCACGACGATCGCGATTCGCGAAAGGACGATAGGCGCGATCGCGATCGCCGTCCAGACCATGGATACGACTATGGTCGCGATGATTACGATTACTTCAGCAGCGACTCTGAGGGTGATGGCAGTCCTGTCAAGACGAGGCGACACCGAAGGAGGGACTACTAGATGCATTCAGGAACGTGAAAAAGTGTAGGTTTCTACACGACTGTATTATTACACTTCTTCCTCTACTTGCCTGTCCTCTGCGTTTCATCTATGTTCCGCCTTGACTGCTTTTTTTGGCATGTATGTATTGATATGAGACGACGGTTTACGATTTACGACAGTAACGAAGAGCGCGATGTGGGACAATTACTCTTTACATTTGTGGAACGAGATTTCAGCGCCTTGATTTAAGCGTCTTTTTTGTTCGCATGTTACTGGTATCGTGAAAGAATAGCAATAGAGAAACAAAAACACAATGCTTCCAAATACTCCAGTGCACTTCCCTGTACATCGAACTCCCAAGCCAAAGTATGCAACAAACGCCCTCTAATGCTCGTCGTATTCTCGACTCGTGGTATCATGCCAACGCTCCTACACAAACAACATTTTAGCATCCCTTCATCTATCTTTCGACCCTGACCAGCGCCCTATAAACACGGAAACGGAATCAAATTCACTGTACCCTCCTCCGCAAACTCATTTCCTACACCCGCCTCTTGCATCGCAGCCTTGAACCTGATCTCACTCCTAGCCGCCAACACCTGGCCCGCCAACTCCACAAGACTCTGTCCACAAAGCCTCTCTCTGCCGACCATGAAGTCAAAGTAACTTTCTGGGAAATCAAAATGCAGGCCGACATCCCGAACGAGTAAGTCCTTCATTGCTTTCCTCAAGAGAGAGTTGCTGTCCGCCATGTAAAATCCCGTAAGTAATTTTTGCACTTGCAGTCGCTCGATGTCGGTTTCGGATTTGGTGCTGACACGGTGAGGGTCTTGGCTGGAGGTGCTGTCGATGTAGCGGCGTGTGTCTGCGCAGAGGGTCAAGCTGAGTAGACTTGGCGAGACGGTGATAAGTAGATAGGATAAGCTAGTTGTGTAGCGTCTGGCACCGATAGACACGGGTTTCCAGACGCCGTCGCGGGAATCCAGAGTTGTCGTCATGGAGTTGGGGTAGTAGAGTAGATCGACTTCGAGATGGCGGACTGAAGGAAGGTCGGTAAGTTGGAGAGGGGGTTCAAAGGCTCCTGAGCCTTCTTCTTCTTCCTCTGCGACATCATGACTGGAGTTGCTGTTGGATGAGGTTGGCGGTATGGAGGTTATGTAGAAAGTGTTTTTGCCAAAGAATACGGAGTGGGCTTCGTGGTAAATTTGCTTGTTGGTTCGGAGAATGGCGGTATGGAGATCGTATTTGGTCTCATGACGGGCAACGGGACCTTTGATGGATGTAGGGGCGACGAGGAGGTGTGTATAGATGTGCAATCGGAGTTCTGGGGGGAGAATATCGAGGAAGGGTGAACGTGTTGTTTTCGCCATGATGGATAGATAGCTTCTCAATCAATTGGGTCTTTCTGTCGACTTATAATGAGTTGACTTGGTTGATTAGTTGGTGAGAGGATATGGGCCGATATGTCGTATCGAGAAATGAGGTTCAGATCCTTCGCAAGGCCAGCCCTATGGATCGTGAGACTACTCGGTGAGAAACGATTGTAGAGGTCAACTTTCAACAACAAACAACAGCCACAGCAGCGCGCGAACCCCTGGTCTTTATTCTCATTCCATGGTATCAAGTGACCCAGTCCACAATCGTCATCTGTCGCAAGCCCATGAATTCATTACACTTGACTCGCTCCACCTAGCATTCTAGGAAGCCATATAGCCAGGAACCCCTTCACTGGTAAGAGCCTTAGGAGACCCTTACCAAGAAAAACGCCCATGCGCTCACGATGCACACTTCCAAATACTCCTAGCTCTGCCGTCCAAAGACGCGATTGACGTGCAGATCATCGATGTTCGCAAGGATCATGTGGAAACACTGAGGCGTTCGGCTGCAGACACCCTTGCGCCCAATGTACCGGTGTAGAAGGTGATGAAACTATGGTAGGTGCTCAGGTGGTTCGGCAAGGCTCCGGAGGGCATGTCGAGCGGCTGGCTAGGTCGCTGGCAACTGCGACCGCCCCGACATGTCAGGGAGAAAGTCCGGTAGCGCGTCTATGGTGTGTTTCTAGAAACATTGAAAAGAAGGTTTATTCGATTGAGAACAGACATTCCAAGAGCGTAGCCTGGCACGTCGGCTACGCTAGGTTTGCAAGTTTTGTTCTAGAGTGCTTCGACGGACGGGCACGGAAGAGCTTTAGCCACACGCCTCTGATACAAGTCTCACGAAGAGCGTTGATGAGGCCGACACGGCGAGAGTACGGCATCGTGTAAAGTGGAGTTCTCAAGGTAGATGTAAACTTACTCTTTTTTTCTTGTTTGTTGCCGCATCGGCATGTTGCTGTGGTCTGGAAAAGACCGGGAGCCGGGCGATTTTACTTAGTCGGGCAGACTCCAATCGTTCCTGCTCTCTCCTCCCCCAGGACGACTCGGCCGAAAACTCCGATGCCCCGAGTAACGGCGCCGTCTTGTCCACGTCGACTCCACCCCTTGTAGATAATCCAAAACAGCCTCAAGTCCTAGATTGCAGCCCGCTGTGTCGACTACGGGTATATTTCGCCGTGGCAATCCTTCTAGCTCCTGAGCCAACGCCTCAGATGCGACCCGTTAGCGCGCTATGCACCAGCCACGCCGCGCAAGGCTCAAACAATCGGCAGCACTACGAAGCCACGGCATGTAAGATACGAGAAGCAGAACGGGAACGCACATGGCACGCTAGCAGGATCAGCACTAGAGGGCCGGGAAGAACACTTCCACGCGAATGATAAACGAGGGAGTTGCTCAGGTCGGCTCCACACCATCTCTAGTTCCATTGAACCGGAAAGGGCGTTGTGCCTCACTCATGCAGTCTCATGCACTGTCGAGACATCGTCTGACCTGGCCTTGGGCTTTGATCTCTCTTCCTTTACCGCTACTCATCAGAAGCGCGCTTGTCGGGCCTCAGCATCGACACTACATCCCGCGTCGAACAAAGAACCGAATACGACGAACCATGGGAGTAAATCTGACATGCGGCAAGCCAGCCAAGATGGACCCCCGTGTCATGGTATGTCTTTGCGTTTTCTCCGAACTATACAATCGGACCCTGAACATCTTCTACGCCCATCCTGTACATTGTCCATAACCCTTCCGGAGCTCTATGCGCAGTCTTACTTTGCTCCACCCGCCTCACATACCATAATCCATCCTAATGACGCCTACCAAGACGCCCGGGCAGCAAAGCAGACCCTATTTTCCAACGAACCAAACCTCAGGGGAAACGCTTTGATCCATACAAAGATAGCGGTGTGTAACCGGATACAACTCCGCACTCTCAACTTGCATAATCCACATTCTCTCGTGACGAGGAGGGCGCTTACCATCACAAACGGTCCGATCTTGGGGCGTCTCCAAGGAAAGGAAAACCGAGAAAATTGCTTTTCATGCATTTTCGTGCATTTGTTGCAATCTAAATCCATCAACTTGGCCGACCGGACAGCAATCTATCCAGATTCCGATCTGGATGTGGAAGGCGTGCCGACCCCTCCTAATTCGCCGCTCTATTTTTCTTTTTTTCTTTTCGCCTTATCATGTGCATGTGAAAAGATTATATTGCTTGCTGGGCACGAATAGAGAATAGATCTGTTTGTAGTCGAATGCAGGGTAACGAATACCATGTCCATATGTAAGACGATGGGAAGCCACATGGGTAATGCCTGTGCGTCGTTTCTGCAAGATGCCGGTGAGACCAGTGGTGCGGAAGGGGCAGGAGTTGTCGGCCTAAAGTTTACTCACTCTTTGACTCCCAGACCCTGGACGTTATGAGGTCAGAATGGTACGATGTTTACCATAAGACGGGCGGACGTCGGTGTTCTGGGCGTATGCGCCATTACGCGGATTTTACGCGGATATTTTATCTTTTGAGAGATCATGTAAAGGGTCATACCGTGACAGGGTGTCAAGCCTGGGTTTAGTGGCGGGGGCGGAGATTAAGCTTTTGGAAATGGACGGCGATTAGGCACCTGGAATAGGAAGTTGGAGTGGGTAAACGTCATGTGATGGATCGGCTGGCGAACGTTGGCCCGCTGTAGAGTGATGCAATGATGAGTTTTTTGAGTAAGTGTATATACCTATGCGCTTAAATCCGACGCGAAGACCTTCTCTGGACATAACACTTGGTTTCTACCGAACGTTCGTTTTCTAGTGTATTATGTCGCCATATAAGCAATGAGAGGAGTGATTGTGACAGAGCATTTTTACATCCGTAACAGATAGCAGACCCAGAAGAGAAACATGTTAGGTAACATATATTGCCACGCACAGACCTGAGGCAAGAAGTGAACGGATTTTGTATTTTCTGTCTGTCTTGGCTTTGTTACGTGACTAGCTAAAGCAAAACATAAGCCCGCTCCTTCCGGTAGGTCGTACATGAACAGGTTCTCACAACGTGAGTGTGAAACGGCATAGTGACGTTTTCCTTTTCGTCCAGGAGCGATCCTAAACCTTCATTCAGTGTCGCTCGATACGTAGATGATCTCATCATCTTGACCTGGAATGCTAGGTTCGCGACGTCGCCTATTGCTCCTGCTGCCCGAAGCTATGCTCCTGTCAGAGAAGTCATTGATGCCGTTCAGTACTCCATCAGAAAGGTTCATAGACGGAAACGCATTCTCAATGCGTCGCTGTTGTGCATGGTTCCCACCCCTCTGTTCCAGCAGAGCGTCCAGTTCCGAGAGATCATCTTCCGCTCCGATGAGGCCGTTATCAAAGGCGTCGAGGGTCTTAGCTATGATCTGGTACATAGCCTGTGCCATTATAGGAGGGAATGCATTGCCAATCTGTTTTGTAGCATCGCTCTTAGTGCCTGTGAACTCATACACATATGGGAAGCTCTGGAAGAGGGAGAGTTCGCGTGGTGTGAACGCACGTTCGCCAGACGGATGAGTCGCGGTAGTACCACCAGTAGTGATGCAGCCTTTAAGGAATGTGTGTGGGTCGTAGGCTGGCCTAGGGTTGGTGTACAGTTTTGGCTGGTGGTATGGGTCGTTCATAGCGCGTGGTCCCTGGCGAGTGATATGCGTAAGGGCTTCGTCGATGTACACGAAAGGCTTGAGGCCACTTCCTGGAGGGCCATGGCTGGGTTTTGGAAATGGAGGTAAAGGTGTTCCTCGTCTTGCAGCAATGATCAGCAGACGTTTCCGTTTTTGCACAAGACCGTGTTGCGATAGATCCTGGACTTTATAGCGGACATCGTATCCGGCCTGACCGATGTCATATAGTAGCATGAGAAAGTTGCGCTTGTGCTGCTCGTGAGTGGCGAGGCCAAATGTCTGCTCGAGGGTTGCAATCCGAGGCTTCACCTTCTTCAGGATAGGACCAACAGTGTATATTGCTTCGTAGTTGGCTTGATCGTTAGGGCCGTCAGTGGTATGCGCAGGGCTCCAGTAGCAACATGGGGGCGATAGATGAAGGACGTCAACCCTCCAATTTTCTTTGCTAATACCCTCTGGCGGGAAGTCGTGAGCGTTCATCTTTAATGAATACGCACCAGGATGGTTAAGGCTGTATGAATCCAGTGCGCGTTCATCATTATCAAGTCCCCACTGGACATAATAGCCCGCCTGGGCAGCGCCTTGGGACGCACCTCCAGCTCCGCAGAACACGTCCCCAAATGTTAGCTGACCCTGCTTTAGCAGATTTGCAATCTTACGCTTTGGGGGCTTATCTTCGAGGATTTCAAAGTCGGGAGAGTCGTCACGAGTACGTCGCTTCCGTACAGATGAATCTTTGCTAACAAGAACGCAGTCGTCATCTTCTACAGAGATAGGTGTCTCTCGCGAGTAGCCAGGATCTGGGATGCAGTCTTCCGACTTGTCGGCCTCATGGGTGTGTAGATGACGCACGATGCCACCATAAGGCTTGTTTCTGCCTCTGCTGATGTAGAGTACGTTAACGACACGACATGTCAGCCGACTCTCGTGGAAGATCTGCCGCTTAATTTCGTCATCACTCATACCACTTGGGTACGCAGTATTGCCGTCTGTTCGGAAGCTCATAAACGGGTAAGGCTTGTTCGTGAGTGTGCACTCGCGTAAACGGACCACCTCTTCAATCTTCACATCTTCCATGCCGGCGACAAGAGGCGAACGGCTATCATCTTCATCGACGCGTAGCACCATTCCAAGTTCGTTGAGTTTCCCTATCAGGTCAGTAGGCGTCTAATCCTCTATTAATTGCACTTACAGTCAAAAATCTGGCCTAGGTATTTAGTGCGCCGCAGTCGATAGCCTCTCAGTCGGACTTCATCTGTCTGCATGTTCATAATGATGGTCTTGATGCGGAGGAAGTCGCCGCTGTGCATAGCTTCTAGTTCTTGTTCTGAATGGTCCCTGAGCTCTACCGTGTCACCAGGTCTAACGATGATGCCCTTGGCCATCTTGAACCTCTGTATCGTGATATCCGGGAGAGAAATATCACCGTAAGATGCAAGCTTCTGTGTTGTTCTTTGTCGATTTTTAGAGGCCGTATGAGCTCGGGTGGCGTTTGTGACAATCTCATAGTCGGACTCATCCTCTGAGTAGTTGAGGAGCGCGATGTCACTATCGCTACTGTTCCAACTCTCATTGTCATCGACAGCGTTCCCACGGCGGTAGGACATAGTGGAGACAATTTTGTAGATCGGCTGTGTAGAAACTGAGTAGTGTGTAAGAAGGCCTGTAGAGTGTTGGATTGTGTGAGAAGGGACTTGCGAGATGAGGACGCGAAGTTACTGCAACGATTAGGCGCCTAAATGTGTTCCCACATTGAGACGCGCGGTGAAAGTGAGTGAGAACAGCCATTACAGATCAGTGGTGAAGCAGTAGTACTAAGCAAAAAACTGCAAAATTAGGCGCGTAAGACAGGTGCTGAGGGAGAAAAATATGAGGAGTAGTCGGTAGAAATAGACGTGGCTTGTGGTGGCAGGAGCAAGGCGGTAAGAGTACCCCGCCCAGTCCCAAGGGGTTGGTATAATTGCGGTGTGCGTAGCAAGGCGCAAGGTACGGTAATAGACAAAGTAAGGATTCGAAGATAAGAAATGCCGCAGGATGCTATATCCTACCAAACCCAACTATACAAGGGCGCCTTCCCCCCGCCCCAAAAGGTCGATTGCTCGGCATAACTCATCGGATGGTCTTTTGTACAAACTCCTTCTCCAGCCGGCCTACCTCGTGCTTGAAGGTCTCGACCTCTTTCCAGCAATCCAGCGGTCGTCGGTCGTGGGTCCTCAGACATGAGACGACAGCCTCCTTTGCCTTTGTGACGTCGGCATCGGCCTGTTCCAGCTTCTTCCTCTGCTCCAACTTGGCCTTGAGCTGCTCAATCTCCTTGGTGACACTGTCCCTGCTCATGTCCTTTTGTCGTTGCTTCTCGGCGAGGGTTGAACTGCTGGATGTCGCATCTTGGATCTTCTCAACCAGGGAGGGCTCATCCGACTGTTGGCTCTCTCCGGAGAGGGTTTCGCTGAACTTGGAGAAGTTCTGCGTCTCTTGCTCGCGCAGCTTCTCGAGCTCGGCGGTTAGGCGTTCCTGGTATTGGAGTTCCTGCTGTCTCGATCGCGCCGAGTCTGTCTACGCTGTGTTAGCCGCAATTCGCCCATGTGAGCCATGGAACCTACGAAAGTGTTCTTCTGCAGCGATCCGACGAGTTCGTTGGAGAAGCTGTAGGGGTGATCTCTGCGCGCAAATTATCAGCATACGACGTCACTTGCTCGCTGCATCTCGTGGGAGGGGCTAGAGCCATTGACGGCGGGGACTGCGACGTACGAGGAGAAGACATGCTGCTTGACCTCTGACGAGGGTTTCGAGTTCTCGGCGCCCATGGTTGCGGTGGTGGGACTGGGGATATTTAGGGCGATGATGCTGTTTCCTGCGAGGAAGTCGGAGCTGACGGCTTGGCCGACGAAAGCACGCTAAGAACCATCCCTGTAAACCATGTCGAGGCGCGTCAGTACCAGAAAGTTTCCCCTCGGGTTTGTGTTTGTCCAGTGTAAACAACTCTGCTTGGCAATTCACAGACTATCGCGAGGACAGAAGCCGAGCGACTCGTTGGTCTCGCAGTCACACCATTAGATTATTATCATTCCAAACTGCCTACGTCACAACAACCCACTCGACCCCCCTCCTCTTGCGATGCAGTCTTCACTGAACAATTGGCTGAAGAAGCCAAGTCAGGACAGCCAACCTGGACAACCCCCAAATGCTCCTCCAATTGTGTCGCCAAGGACGAACCGACCGCCACCTCCCCCAAAGTCAGTTTCAGCGCCTACGCGCGTGCCCTCCAACACAACGCCTACGCCCTCAGCAATGGAGAACTGGAATGACATACCTGACGACTTCCTCCAAGCCCCCTCAAGACCGCGGTCCAAGAAAAGCCCTCGTCCGTCTCGAGCAGTCACGCCTGCCATCTCGCGCATACCTTCGCCCATTTCCCTCTCCCCTCAGCAACCCGCCATTCCGCACCTCTTCGCCCTACGTCCTCTGCCGCCCAACGTCCAACTCGTACCCCTTTCCGAAGACTTGCTGCCATCATTCAAGCGCTTGAATACCCTCACTCTCCCTATATCCTATCCGGAGACCTTCTACAAAGAGACTATGACGGAGCCACACCATGGCATTACCCTTGTGGCAGTGTGGCACTCTTCGCCTACCAATGCCAGCTCGACATCGCCTGCAGAGAAGCCAAACCTCGTTGGTGCCGTTCGATGTCGCATACTGCCTTCCTCGCAATTATACATTTCTACCATTGGTGTCCTGGCTCCCTACCGCACCCACGGCATTGCCATGCATCTTCTACAGGCTGTAGTGAAGAAGGCCGTCGAGCTTCATAGTGTGCGCTGTGTCACGGCGCACGTGTGGGAGGCCAACGAGGAAGGCATGGAGTGGTACAAGAAGCGGAACTTCGAGATACTCGAGAAAGAAGAGGGCTATTATAGAAAGCTGAGGCCGCAGGGTGCTTTCCTTGTCAGGAAATGGATTGGCGTTGGTGACCTTCTGGGCAATGGTACCCTTCAGCAGAATGGGGCAGGCAGTGAATGATTTGGACAAGACCCTTTTGCCCTGGACACGGACCATCATTCATCCTCACCGATGTGCGTGTAAGCGCACTGCTAATGTCATTTGCCTAGAACAAGCTTAAACAGTGTATACCCACGGTCTGGCCCAGTGTGTAATGCATCGCTTGCTTGCCTTACATTCACCTGCCCCCGGGTCACGGTACGATGCCGCGATCATCCGCGGCGTCACTCGGATTCCTCGTAACCTGTTCCGACTACCAGTCTCACTGCTTGTATCGAACAATCTAAGCTTGCGCGATCTGGAAAGTCGCACAAGTCATGGTCAGCTTGAGTGGCATCTGAGTCTGGTGGTCGGACAAGGGTCGACTGGGTATCAATTTGCGGCTAAAACACATCCCCGTCTATAAGAGTCGTCGTGAACAAGAATAGTATCAAAACCAGTCGCGAACCTTCTCGGAACGCAACCGAGCTTCAACTCGTGGCCGAGACTAGGTTCAGTCGAAATATGGGTATAGCCGCGCATCGTGGGCAGCCTTATTCGAGAAGCAGTCTACAATACACAACACCAAACACGGGCGTATACCCAGGTGAACCTGTTTTTTCATTTTGCCAGCCTTCGCCAAATGTGTCGTTCTGAGTGCTTTGCCTTCTCTGACTGACTGACTAACCATACAAGCTCTCGGTAGGCTCTACATTGCCTGTACCATCATTATGGCACACAAACTCGCTAGCCACAATATAGGCGAATGCACGAGCAGATTGAGATGGCCTCGTATTTTACCTTGGCCCCAGTTAGACTGCTGTCTACACTGGAGCCGCGGGTATCTAGAACTGTAGCCATGAAGCAATTGTTGAGCCTGGTGGTGACTTCCTTAGACTAGCAGCAAAGGTCTGTGGCTATAAGATGCTTTCCATGGCCCACGAGGCCGAATTCCACAGCTAGCTCAGCATTTCCGTTCACTGAAGCATTATTATCTGTCCATCACCATGCAGCTTACTATACTTGCGCTTCTAGCGACAAGCCTCTCGACAGTGTGCCTTGCAGTATGTATCTCGCCGTTAAGCTAGACATCTTGTACTGATTTACCAACAGGCGCCGGCCAACAATCATGTCGCCCTCGAACCACGCCAGACCTACATAATAACTTGTACCAAGGGTGGATGCACCGATAACATCAGCCGCACTACGCCGGGTGTTCCAGAGCCAACAACAAGCAAGATCACAACTACAACCACCAAGAAACCTGAACCGCCCAAGACGAGCACGAAGCCGGAGCCGACCACAACGAAGAAGCCAGAGCCGCCCAAATCAAGCAAGAAACCAGAGACAACTCCAACGCCCACAAAGGCTAGTCACATACTGATCCGACATGATTTTGTTTTTGACTTCTTCTGACACACTTAGACCACTATCAAAACAACGACAAAATCGACGGTAAAGCCCACCAAGACCACCACTGAAGAGGTTGGCCCGAGCAGCACCAGATGCCCTGTCCCTCTCTACTACAAATGTGGAGGCTGGGATGGTGGTGTTCCTTGGGCTGGTTGCACAGTATGTGTCAAGGGAGCAACCTGTGTGGTTCAGAATGGTATGTGGAGATTGCTACGGCCCACGTCCTATGTTATGAAGCTGATCTTCGATAGAATGGTACTCCCAGTGTGTAGCAGACGACAGCCTTTTGAACGAGAGCCCTGTAGAGGAAGAGTAATACGGGTAGCTTTCGCACACTTAGTTCAACGAGCATCGTGTAAATCCAAGCATCTATATCTGCCCGGGCATCTTCAGACTGGTTTCATTGTCAGTTCAGACACTTTGCGCTCTGCTTCTACTGTAGCAACAACTGCTCCTTTCCTCCGCATAGATGATGGCACTCGGTGTTTCACGAACCTGATCTCTCACCCATGTTTCCCGAACAAGGTGATTACCAACGCTTACTTTGCGCGTCGAAGCATGACAAGGCGCACGAAGCGGACATGGTGGGGTAGCTTGAACACGTCCCTGGCACGCCCCACCATGCTAATCAATTCCCATACGAACGTCATACATACGGACTGAGCTCCGCTAGCTGCCGCGCACCTGTCGCGCATACTTCAACTAACACTTTCCCTGTAGTTTATCTTCTTCAAACCTCTCTCAATATCTTCTTCTAAACGCGCATCATCTCTGAACCGTCAATTGACCCGATCCCTTCGCGTCGCCTCGCGTTGTTCCCATCTTCCTTTCCCAGCAACTGCGATAGCAAGTCTCTTGATAAACATAATGCCCGACCCACGAGTCTTCATAATCCGCCACGGCGAAACAGAATGGTCACTCAACGGACGCCACACAGGAGTCTCGGACATACCGCTTACAGAAAACGGCGAGAAGCGTGTAAAATCCACAGGCAAAGCGCTTGTAGGCGACGACAGATTGATTGTACCAAGCAACCTAGCACACATGTACGTTCTCGATTCCAGCCAGAAATATTTTTAAACCAAAGACCCCACGGCTGACATTGATACTCAACAGCTACGTTTCTCCCCGCACACGCGCCCAACGCACTCTTGAGCTCCTCAACCTAGGCTGCAAAGAACGCTATCCCTGGCACGACTCCTCCAAACCGCACACACCAGATATCCGCACGAACGCCAAAATAGAGGTAACAGAGGCAGTCAGAGAGTGGGACTACGGCGCCTACGAAGGCCGCGTCACTTCGGAAATCAAGAAGGATCGTGAAAGCCGCGGGTTAGGCGCAGACTGGGATATCTGGAAGGACGGTTGCGAAGACGGTGAGAGCCCGGAGGATGTCACGGAGAGGTTGGACAAGCTGATCAAGGAGTTGAGGGAGAAGTACCACAAGGGCAAATTTGGCAAAGATGGAAAACCTAATGATGTGTTGATTGTGGCGCATGGTCATATTCTGAGAGCTTTTGCGGCTAGGTGGGTGGGCAAGAAGTTGGAGGAGAATCCTAGTTTGATTCTAGAGGCGGGTGGTGTGGGAACACTGAGTTATGAACATCATAGTCTCGAGGAACCGGCGATATTGCTGGGTGGTGCTTTCGTGGTTGATGTTGTGGAGAAGGAACAGGAAGAGCAGCAGAAGAGCTAGATCACAGGTCACAATTCATATCAATCGGCAGGTATGTGTGTTTAGTTCGTTGCTTTCGTTATCGTAATCCTGTTTATCCTTCTTCGCATTTGCGGACCTCATCAAGCTCCCACAACAGCAGCTCTTGGCATGGTGGCCTGGTAGTCCAGACTCTTCTGTTTAGCAATCCGGGCGAGCTGCTCCCTGTTTTTGAGTGCCCAAAGACCAAACTCACGTACTGCAAAGGCGTTCATGAGGCTATCCCGACCATATTCTGGGTCACTCCTAAGACTAATCTCAGAATAAGTCTTGCACAGACTATCCAATGCTAGCTGCGCCTTACTGAGCGGACCCTGAGCAGCTTTCTCAACGACCTTGGCGATATCAACAGCACGTCCGTGGACCATGCGCAGGGAATCGAGATCCGAGCGCAGATTGTGGCCGACCACGATAGTCTCCTTGTCGATGAATTTGTGTAGTGCGTTCCGTGCTGCCATCCAGCCCTTGAAGACCTTGTATCCAGACTTTCGAGCTGCTTCCATATCCCTCCAGCTGAACAAGCCGGTGACCGCGGAGCGCCAATCCAAGACTTCAGCGTGCGGATCTGTGCAGACGAGGTGATTCATGAGGATTCGGCAGGTGGCAAGGTCGACAGCTGCGATTTTCACAATCTCCTGAAAGCCGCCCTTAAGCACAACTTTACTGCATGAGATGGCGACAACATCCAAAGCAGGCTTTGATGGGTTACGAGCGGGAGAGGGCTCAAAGTCGCTAAACGGATACTCGGTGTTGTAGTCGTCCTTGAAGGCCTTTGGAGCCGGTACGTATTCGCCTTGTAGAATCTTCGGGAGATGGCACATGGTATCGAACATGGCAACGACTTCATGCTGTTTTGCGACACCAACACGAGTCCAGTCAATCCCGCAGACGTTCATCTTACCATCGTGTTGAATGAAGATGTCGGACTGGATTAGAAGCCGCAGGATCTTCGCTTGGACTTGTTTGGCTTGATCTAGCTCGGCAACACCGCTCATGATCGTACTGCTGGGTAGTTGGATTGGCTGAGTAGGTGGCATATGATGTTGTATTGGCATAGGACGAGCGAAGGTTAGGGGCTGCGAGGGTACTTGCTGCGTCGTACGATGTTTGGAAGGTGTCATTTGGGGTGCTGGAGGTGCCATACGAGACGCCGAAGGAGCACCACGAGGAGCGGAAGGTGACGCGCGTGGGGCAGGGCGACCTCGCTGACCACGACCTCGAGATGACGCGGAAGAAGGTTGCAGTAGTAGGCCTTCTTGCCTCATCTGCTCCCTCACGGCTCGACCGACCGCATTCAGTGCCTGACCACCAATACCATGGGCATCAGTCTTGTGTTGATTAAGGCCAGCTTCCGACCTAAATACCCTACCGCAGCCTTCGAAATTGCACGCGAAGCTACTCAAGTCATTGATTGGAGCAGACAAGGTGGACGAGGAAGATTGGGCGCGAGGTGCGGGTGCTGCTGTAGGGGCCTGGCGTTGCTGCGGACTAGCTCTTACGTGGTTTGTGATTGTCCGTGTATTGCTACCTGGTTTAGTGGCTTTCAGTACTTGGCGGTGCTTCTTGGACGACGAGATGGGCGTGCAGCCTAGCATATGGTTGTTGTAGTGACCTCTCGAGTGGAACACACGCTTGCAATCGTGGCATTTTACTCCGTCGTCGCTGTCAACAGTATCAGCTTCTGATGATGATGATGCGTTGGGGTCCTTACAGAAGGGTACGACTGGCGATCCGTCTTTGGGTCTGTCCAGGTCAACATAACCCCGGGCAGCTTCGGGAGATGTGGTGGAGTGCTTTGGGGCAGTGTGCCTCCAATCGGCACAGTCAGAGGCGACGTTGCTGCGGTGGGCATTGTGTTGTTTCTGGTTGTTGAAGGTCTTCTGGCACCGACTGCAGGTGACTGCCATTTCGGATTCTTCTGTGAGGGGCTCCAAGTCTTCGTTTCGCGGGTTTGGGCGAGCTGTCTGTGGATCTCCGTGGCTACTCTGGATTCGATGAAGCTCTAGGGCGTGGGAGTCATCGAAATTCCACCCACAAGTGGCGCAAATGAGCTTCTTATTGCTTGTGTCGCTGTGATTGGCAGTGTGCTGGCGGAGATCAGCTTTGATGGTGAAGGATTGCTCGCAGATCGCGCAGTGATATGGTGGCTTGCCGCCTCCCCGGCGTGTCATCGCTGGTGAGATAGCAACCGGAAGTTACCCTGTCTGTTGCAAGTGAGGTGAGTCGTCTTTTTAGCCTCTGTTTGCGGGGTCAAATACTGTTAGGAAAGCGCGACGGGCACGGACTTTGATTGTTACGGTACTACGTGGGCTACTGGAAGCTTCTGCGACTCACCTTCATCTCAGCAGTGCCTCGCTATTTGTACAGTCTAGCCTACGTAAGTGAGTGAGCAGCTAATTCTATGTCTTGCCTAGAGCCCAATTTGGACGTTCAGTCTACTTCCCTGGTTCCAGGTGTGGTTGAAATAGGCCGAGTCGATGCACGATCCTAAGAGCCTTTGCGATATGTTGTGGCTCAAATTTGTTGGACGATATTTGGGCGTGAGAGTTGCCGTATCCTGTCAGTCAAGAGCAGCGTACAAGGAACATATGTGAGATGAGCGCCTCTTGGTGCCATTGAGGTCTTCTCCTCAGTGTTTTGAGTATGCTGTCGCATGTCCATATGACTTCCTAGACTGACATGGTAGTTTACAGCTGCTCTATCGCAATCAAGTACTCATGCTACGCATAGCTTCGATAAACTAGCAATACTCAAGGGTATTCCTAGTACTCATGAGTCTTCATGACCAGGTGTACCTGGGTAGTGAGTACCTTTAGGGTGCTTGATGTCTGGAATGCAGATGAAGACTTTTGTGCTTCGGCATATGGTAGGTAGCTGGGGAGATGTCAAGCAGCAGCAGCAGCAGCAGCAGCAATAAGGGACACAATCCTAAAGATTGAAGTATTGGTGAGTGACCCCATCAGATGCTCATAGTCTTCGCCAAGAAATGCCTCGCAATGCCTAAGATCCTACCTATCCGCATGCATGACAATGCATACGTCGTACTTGCACCCAAGCGTTCAGCCTTCTGAACAGCATAATACAAGATCCATTCCTTCAAAGTGCACTGGCCACTCTGTCCCGTCATCGCCAGATGTCGGAAGCGCCACGAACCCCCCAACATTTTAGTCTCCGCTTATCGTAAAATAAACAAGAACGGCATCTCGCGATGCGACCTTAGATGACTCGTCTGCGCCACGAGATGACGCATTCGAGATTCACGGCACATTTTGGAGCTTTATTGAAGATCGAGCCTCTTTGTTGATGCTTTGACAGCAGCGCTCGCCCCAGTGGAAGCTCTGGTAGCGAGTGATTGAAGTCGTAGATAGAGTGCGCAAGCTCGGTTTCGACTTGGTTGACCATGTTTATGCTGTACCGCACATCAATGGGCGCATACATGTTGTTTAGACCCGGCGGGAACAACGCCATGGCTGATGGGAGTCGCGATCACAAAGTGCTGTCATCTGCCCCACGGCATATGGCGGAAGTCGAGGTCGAATCGACAGCCGTGAGAGCTGCGATATCTTGATGACTATACCAAAGAGTTGGAGAAAAGACTACGA